TTTCTGCATCCACTAGACTGCTCACTCATCTGAGTCTTCTTGAGTGGTGTGAGGTAACCTGTTTCACTCCACTGACATGGACTTGTTTAGTTATTACTCAGTAAGTAAGCTGACTACAGTCTGACTGAAGTACTTTGGTTCAACAGATTTCAGCTAAGTTTGCTTCTGCTTATTTATAAAAAATTTAAGACCTCCATAGTAAGCTAAACAGAAAACACCAGCTCTTAAAGGAACAACCCCTGCCCACCTTTAAAATAAGTATTTTATTTAAATGCTCTAAGAATATGTTTTATATTCTACTTAACTTTGTATAGACAAGATTCTTGCCTGAGGTAGGTTAGGAATATTTCATAAGCAAGGCTACCTATCTCCCAAATTATGTAAAATATTTGTATGCTCAAATGAACATCTCAAGAAACCTTAACCCGTTTTAAGAAATACTGAAAGACTTCAATGTTCAAAGAACTAAGTTGCAGTAGAATATCAAAACATTTTCCCAACTACCTATTTTCCTTAAAGCTACTTACTGTACAAAAAAGATACAATTTTCTTTTGGACTATTTTATAAGTCTCTGAACCAAAAGTATTTCTCTTTACAGAAATGAATTCAGAGTGCTGAAGAAGCTATATAAGACCACTTCTCTTCAAGACCTAACAGTGTTCTCCCGCCCTTTAAAAAACAGGATGTATCTTGCTCTTTGAAAAGATTGTGGCTGGCTGTTTGCATCTTAAATACTTCACAAAGCATTATCAGCATCACTCACAATCTGCAATTAATGACTCTACAAAATGCTTTCTGCAAGGCAAGTATTAACTGACATTTAAATATAACTTTCAAACATAAACCAAAACAAACTCTTCAAGCAAACGAGCACGTTTACACGTACAGGCTAGAGTTTGTTCATTTGGATTGGCAGATGGTAAGTGGAAGTTTTCCTGCCTCTTATTTACAGGATGAAAAAGGAAAAACTTTCTAATTTTTTTTAATGAACCTAAAAATCTCAGTAAGCAAGCAAGTAAAAAACCATAGATACATCAACTACAACTGGTCATCACATGTAGAAAGGTAATTTTAAGCACTTTCTCAACTTCAGGAAGGGTAACAGATACAACGTGTGTAATCACTTTCACCTCCATATCCCCGTTGTTCCCCCAGGGTTCACCCATGCAATACCATTGCCTTGCCCTCGGCAGAGTGCTGGTTGCGGATCACAGGTACATCAAAAGAGAAGCACCGTTTAAACTTTTAGCTCAGGAAGGAAAAATTATATGCAGTTTAGCTTATGTCCTGTCTGAAAGGCCAAGGAGTGGAACAGCGTGGTATTGCATTTGTATGGACACATTAAGCTCCTGACCCAGAATGAACACAGCAATGCAGGCAGCAGATGAGCTCTGCCGGGTGAAGCCACACCATCTCACAGCAGGACAAATATCACCCCTAACCACTGCTGCTCACATACCTGCTTATTATCTGAGCAACCCGGTACCAGGAGACCTGAAATTGCTGTTTTGTGAGGGAATTTGTGCTGCCAAGAGGTGGTATGTTTGAGTTCAAAAGATACCGAGAACAGCCAGAAGTGATTTCAGATCAAAACATTCAAACAAGGATCAGAAAAGATAATAGGGGAGAACTAGGGGAAAAAAAACTTGTGTTTTTTTGGTAACTAGTGAGCTAGTACTTTTCAAAGGATTATATGAAAACAAAGGAACCGAGAGAGTCCATGATTAAAAAAAATTAAAAAAAAATAAGGTAAGCTGGCCACCTTTCTCCTAAAAACAATTAAAGAATAAGGACCTGATTAGTTATTCTTTTAATTGTATTAATATATAACCATGCAAATTGAGCATAAAATGCTGCCATCTTGGTGACAGCGTATTTCCATGCATTCTGTATGGTATGTCTAAATATTTTGATGGTTTTACTATTTTGTACCAGCCATGGAAACTGGTTTGCTGCTAGATGACTTTAAAAGTGAGATTCGGTAAATAATTTTAGAAATCTTACACTAACACTATGATTGAAACAATAGACAGAAGTATAGCCAAGCAATCGACTAGTAGAGGTAGTTACTCATAAGTTTTGCAGTTCTTTGCTCTCATGACTAGATGTTCCTGTACGTTAGATGAGAACAATCTTGAAACTGACCACATGTGATTGAAACTGTGTTAAGCTTCAAGAACAAGGACAAGAACAAAGACTTCAAGGACAGCCAACAGAATCTCAAATGGGTCAGTGGTCATAAAAGCAGCCCTTCAACTCAAATGAATTCTTCATTGTGCATGATCAGATGTAGGCAGTACTATGATAATCAGTTACAATAATTTTTAGGTGTATGTATACTAATCTGTAATTGTTACCCCATATAACCTGTTTGTGCTGAAGCTGTGGCATGCACGCTAGGTGGAATTATCCCCCGTGCATCCAGCGCTGCAATAAAGAATGCCTGCTTTCCAAAATGAGTCTTAGAGAGTTTCTTTGACCGGCTTTTCGGTATCAGTGGTTAGGTCCTAAAAACTTAACAAGCGATGCCATGACTGAGCATCTCCATATGTGATTTGGAGTTCTAGACCACCTAACATACTTCAGATGTTTAGAGGAGGATGCTATTGCTTGTCTGAGTTCTACATAAATATAGAAAAATGTTTGAGGCCGTCTCATTAAAAAAAAAATAAAAATCCATAAAAAACAGCAGAACACACAGATACATTCAAACGTTAATTCTTCCTTTAAAGCTTTTTCTCCCTGCTGGGTAGGACTACTGAATGACTGATAAAGACTAAAAGAAAACAAAAATGTTCAGGCATTTTCTGACTGAAAATAATAAATAAAAAAAACTAACAGAACATATCAGCTGACCCTAAAATGGAATATTCTGTACTTGGAAATTATTAGCATACAAGGGAAATGGTATATATTACAAAAGCCGGAGGTAGTATAATAATAACATCCTTTCTTTATTCAGTAGACCATTACTTGGGACGTTTATCCAGAATGTGGCAGACTGGGGTATAACCCCCCTCTCAAAAGACAATATTAAAGCTTGTCATTCCCATTGACAGTGTAACACTTCCTTTTATGTATTAGAATAGTCAGCAAGCCAGAGAGAGTACAGGCAAGAATGATACTCTACACTTCTTGAAAATGTAAATTCAGATCCACATAGGAGGATGGAATCTATTCTGGATTTTTCATATAGCAGGTAGATGCTCAGTTATTGGATAAAATGGGACACCCACCATACTGAAGCACATTTAGGAAAACCAGCGTAATATGTTAAAAATCACTTTTTTTTTTTTTTAAGCAAACCAATAATTACCTATAATTGTCTATGTCTACCTTTTGCCCTGTTTCACATCCAGAGATGCCCTTCTTTTTCAGAAGTACACACTGTAAGGATATGTGGAATAATAATTTTTTATTGAGAATATCTGACTAACAGCTGTTTAACATACAAGACTTGGAAAACAGACAGGAGAAGCAATTAAGCCTCAGATACACAAACCCAGAAGACAATGAATAGACAACGAATACCAAAGACCAGAAATCTCAGGCTACTGATGGGCCATTGAAGGAACCACTCAAAATCTTGAGGAGATTCAACTGGAACTTTCTAACTGATGAGGGGGAAGGAAGATTATCACAAGTCTCTCAGGACAGAACAAACTCATTATGGTATATTTTAGGGCATTTGTATGATTGTGCAAAATGCACTATGGGATTTTTAGGGGAAAGGCCAAAGATGGGGAAAGGGTGGGATGAAGGTACATTGAGGATGAACAAGCACAGGAAAACAGAGAGGCAGCGGGACAACAAGGGCCAGCCATGTGAAAACAAGCTGCTGGTCAGCACACTTGCCTAGACAAGTCCTAACCGCGTTCCCAGGTAAGTTCCCTGTTCTGTCTGTGCGTGCCGCTAAAGAACTTCAAGCCAGGGTAGCTAGCAAGCAAGGTCGTTGGTCTGCGATCCAGCTACTGGAGAAAGTGTGGGTCTGGATGTCAGGTACTGCAGAGACTCCAGGTTTGACAGTCAAGTTACAGGGGGGAATATAGGTCTGGACCAGGTATCGGAGAGACCCACCTGGGTAAGTGTGAGATCTGCTACCAACAGTGTCTGGTGGGTGGGTGGGTGCCGTGCTGAGGACACCTGCTCAGCATTCCCACCGGCTGGACCTCGGGCCGAGGGGCTGCAGCAGCCCGGCTGTACCGGACAGGGAAGGAGAGCTCGCCTACGTCCCAAAGCCCACTGGACTGCGCTTCCTTTTCACGCAGTCCACCATTACAGCAGCATTCAGACGGCAAAACATCAGCATAAACATCAAATACAGAGCTTCAGTAGAGAAACTCCATTTTACTGTAGCAAGCGTCATTGCATCCAAGTGGGTTTCCCATCAGCTATGGGAAAAACAGGTCAGCGCCGCGGCCTCACAGCGGGATAGCTCAGGCCCCTTGAGAACGGGCTGTGAAAGACAGCAATTTAAAAACAAGCAAGCAAACAGACGAAGTGGACTTTCAGAAAAAAACCATCTTGTTTCCTTAGGTAGGTACTGCAAAGCAGGCGTTCTGGAACAGCCTGCCTGGTATTACGGCGTTAGCAAGGGCTGAGGGCAAGCAGTCTGTGGAGACCCCGCTCCTTCCCAGGGCAGAGGTTACTGATGACGACAGGCCAGGCTGACGACGCGTTAGCCCCTGGCCACCGCCGTTTGCAGGGTTTCCCCTCCCCGCGGACCGCCCCTCTCCCCGCCGTCCCCAACGGCCAGGCAGTCCCGCAGAACACCCGCCGGCACCGGCAGCGCTGCCCCCCGGCAGGAGGGGGGCGGCG